CGTTTATAACGGCCACTGCCACTTTCAAGATCCAAGTAGGCTTTCTTTCACTGGGTTGGCTATCTGCTCGCTTGATCCATGATAACGACCTATTTTCTTTTGCAGTAAATAGAACGACCGAGGAGAAGCTGCTCAGCGACCCAGACAGACTTGTATCTTTTGGGGTACTCGACGACGAGAAACGGGACGCAAGGAAGCTCGTAACAACCGCGAACCTACGGAAGTACGATTTCTTTTCCGACAAAGCGTCGCTAGAACCCCTGGACGGTAAGTTATACCGGTAGCTTTCTGGTTGTAGAGTAAATTTCCATACTGACGAGCTTAAATGCAGAGACCATGCCCCCAAAGGAGTCCGGGCAGTCCCGACGGGCACCATTCGTTTTCCCTCGATCGAGGAGCCAGAGGGAGAGGGAGAGGGAGAGGGAGAGGGCGGCCGAAGCTGCTCGTGCCATTCCAGCACAACCGCTGTGGACTTCTGCGCCTTTGCAGCCTCGTCCTGCACAAGAAGCGACCAGAACAGAACAGGTCGCTCTGGCACCCGCTCGCCCCAGACGAAAGGCTCCGGCCTAAAGGTCCAAAAAGAGGAAACAGGTCCAGGTCGAAGAGTCCGAGACCGAATCCGAGGAGGAGCCTCTGAAAACGCGTCAGGAATCCAGGAGGTCGGGCAAGGAGCCCGCAAGCGAGGCGTTGACTGGCGACAAGGCGAAGGATGCGCCTGTTCTGGACTCGTTGGGGAGTCTGCCCGAGCACCTGCAGCCAATCGTCTATGGCCTGCTCGAGTGCGACCTGTCGGAGTCATACAGCGAGTTTGCAGACACGGGCGACGACCTGATGGCTACGTCGTTCCAGCATCTGAGCAAGGTAAACCAGCCATACTTGGAAATTTCGTTTTGAAATAATTCTTACTTGGAAATTTCGTTTTGAAATAATTCTAACTCATATCCTACTCGCAGGGGTTGCTTGCGATGAGGATGTCAATGGAGAAGACGCGGCTGGGGGTCGCAAAGGGGACGAACGACCTGTAGGAAGAGGTCGCAAGGCTGAAGCAAAACTTGGAGTCCGTTGAAGCCGAAAGGACCCAAACGTTCGATGCAGTGAATAGGTATCTAAACCAAAAGAACGCTGCTCAGCGAACAGTGGACTTCCAGAGGGTGGAGCTCGATCGGCGTGCCGAGGAAATCGGGGAACTCCAGAGGACAACCGCCAGGCTCTCTAAGGAGGTCGGGGAAAAGGACCGGGAGCTCCAGGCGACCTTCGCACGAGCTCAGCGGGCTGAAGAAGATAGGCAGGCCTCCGAGCAGGAAAGGCTAGCTCTTGAGGCCGAGCTCCAAGAGAGTCGGGCGAGAGTCGCCTCTCTGACTGAGGAAATGCAAAATCAGTCAGAGGAGACGGAGGAGAAAGCTGCGGACTGGGCAATCGGGTCCATCTACACCCTGCGAGCGAGGAACCCGAATTTGGACATGTCCGACCTCCCGGAGGTTTGGCAGGTAACCTTACGGATGATGGCCGACGAGGACGACCAAGCTGCAGCGGCCGCCCAGGGACCCGACCAGGCAGGTGGCTCTGGCTCGAAGGATCTCCCCGACCAGCCTTAGGCTTAATGAGCTGTCTTTGTTGTAATCGGTTTTTTTTTTTTTTTTTTGGACTTTGCAAATGAATGAAATTATCTTTTCAATTTGCTGTTCGCTTTTTTCATATATTGTGTGTAATTTACAATTTGCGATTTACATAACTGTTCACTAATGCGAACAGAATATATACGAACTGTCTTAAGCGAACAAGGCGATATTTAAGAAAAAAAAGAACTAACAAAAACGATGAGAGTTATAGTTCAGGATTACTGATAGTACGGCCGGAGGTGCTCGGCATTCCAAGCTCGGGGTACTTTGGATCCGTTCAATCTTTTGAGGTGGTAGGTCCCCGGTCTGATTACCTTGTCGACCCGGTATGGACCTTCCCAGTTAGGTCCTAGTACCCCCGCGCTTGGCTCTCTGGCTCCGAGGAGAACTTCCTTTAACACAAGGTCTCCGACCTGGAAGTCTCTTCGCTTGACCTTTGAGTCGAAGAATCTTTTTGCTCGCTGCTGGTAGGCCGCCATCCTTAGCGAAGCCTTGCTACGATGTTCTTCGACCAGATCCAAACTTGCTCTCATTAGTGCTTCGTTTTCTTCCTCATTGTACAAGTCCCTCCGAAGAGACCTATCTTTATCTTTCATCGTCAATAATTGAGAGAGCACACTGTTTAAGATTCCCTAACAGATATACATCACATCTCACTGTATGGTAGAAGTAAATTATGCATGCGACCAAAGTTAAAGTGATGACCACAAAAATATTAGGGTATTTTATCTTATTTTTTGCCCATATTCCTAATCTTATTCTCTAAATAATGTTTGGTATATTATTCTAGAAATACTATCCTATTTTTTAATTATTTTTAGACCCCATAGGTTGTTAATTTCATTAATACTCCCATTGAAAAGTTAAAAATATAAAAACACCCCCCACCAATACTTGCCAGATTCCAGCAACCACACATCGTGTGTAGCCGGAATCTGTACAACGACCTACCTACCGATCAGAAATGACCGGAAGTTCATCATCTGGCCTTTTCCAACTAGATCCACCACAGATTTGGCCGTAACGACGCCAAATCTGGCCACCGTTGACTGAAAACGACAGCCATATCTTGTGCCGTCGTTTTGGCCTTTTTTGGCCGTCGCGGCACAGCAGGCCGTGAATCTGGCCTTTTCCGGTCAGATCTGGTGGATCTGGTCAAAAAGGCTATAACCACGTTTTACGACACAATTCTGACTGGTCTTGTCGTAATGCGATTACCCGCCAATTCTGACGGTGGTCCGAATCTGGCACTGCAGGTGGTGGGTGTTTTTATCATTTTATACATTAGGCTTTTAATTAATTAGCAAACCTAAGGTCTTTTCATACATTTTTAAATTTTACCTCGCAATACTCCCTTATCCAACACCCAATATTATTCCTAAAATTCTATCCAAAATATAAACCAAACGCATCCTTAATGTTTAGTTGGTTTCGTCTCTATCCAGTTCATTACTTCCATTTCCATCGTTCCATGGAAGGTAAATTAAGCATGGTCCTGAGAAATAATATAGAACTTCTTGATATAGAATGATTAATACATTTTATTCTCTTCTCTAGTCAAGATGTCTGATATTAATTATAAAAATCATACTCATCCATAATAATTTTTATAATTTAGATTTAATTATTATAGTTAGATTTAATAAAATCAAACATTATTATGTGATTACTTTTAATATAAAAAAAATAAAAAATAAATTGGTATTTGTCGTTGTATAATATTTTATTTATGTATCAATATCAATTAAAGCAAAATTTGCAGTCTTCTAAGTTAGTTTAAAAAACAATATTGAAAGCAACAGACACTATCAATGAACATTACAAATTCAGATATATATTGTTGATGCTGGTTTTCGGCACCAACCAATTGTCACGTGGGTTTGCTCTTTGATTGATTAATGCACGTGATAATGGATATGTGAATGAAATAAATGCGTGGAGAACTTTTAAAGTGGTTCGGTGCTAAGGTAGCATATCCTACGTCCACTGAGTTGTATTGATATTAGTGTGGGTCAGGTCGCTGAAGCGGACTGACGTACACAAATTTATGAAAAGTAAGTGTTTCCTCTTACAAGAGAGAGAGTTATTTTTTGTGAAAATGGCCGAATCCCCTTAATGGAGGGGTCTTCTTTATTTATATCAAAGGGAAGTGTGTAATCATCATTAAATCTCGGGTTGGTATGATTGTCAGGATATCATCTATCTTCACGTCCCGTTTTCCCTTTTTTCCAAGCTGACTTTGCATGACTTGCTGCAGAGAAACGGACGCGTGTGACTCCATGTTTATTTGCAGGTCTGACGTGCGCACATTGTCCTGACGGGGCAGGTTACTCCGGACGCTACCCTTCCACGTCGCTCTTCATTTTCCCGTGCATAACAGAGCCCCCTAGTTTTTAAGGTTTGTGGAACGAGCCTTGGAAACTAAGTCACACTGAAGGTTCTAGTCTTTCCGACCTGGATGGGGCGAGCTCCGCTCAAGACTCGCAGCGACCACGATCTCGCGCGATCTCGCGCGATCCCTTGCCTAAGCGACCTAACAATCTTCACCCTGCGACCTGAGCTTGACGGCGCTCTTTTCTGCACAGAGGTCAATGAACCTGGTTCTGCGCTGTCAGGCTGTCTGATGCGTTACAGCGCTTGTCAGACACATTAATGCGTGTTATGATGACCCACGCCGTTTTGACAGTATTGACCGTTTAAACGCGTTTGAAACCGACAGCCCTTATTACTGCATTTAATGCGATGTGGTTTGAAATGGCGCCTCTTTTCACGGCATTTAACGCGACGTGGCGCATTAAATGCGGGGAGAGGGGGAAACTCTTCGTTTCGGTTCCGAGGGTGGTAACCGTTGATTCGCAATCCATAAAAAACCTTGTATTTTTCAGATGAGGCCACCAAATCTCTTTCGCTTCGAGTGACACACTTTTGCAACCAAGATCATCCCTCCCAATCGGCGTTTTTTAAGCAACCAGGACGAGTTTCGGCCCCAGCTTCATATTCCACAGAGTAAGGTTTTTTCCTCTTTTTCTTTTTCTTTCTTTTTGTATGGGTTTGGTTGAACCACGGCGTTGGGCTTTTCGGTGTTCCACCGGAGTTGCACGCCGTTGTTGGATTCGAGCCGTGGATGGCGGCTTGAATCTCCACTAGGTTTTAAGTATTTGTCCCTTGCTGCTGCTCGGGACAACACGAAGGCCCGAATGACCGTGTCTGTCGATGTTGCAGACTGGAATGGAACCGTCAACATCCAGGCCCGAGGAAGGAGCCAGCTCGTCCTCGCGGGAGCTCCCGAGGATGCACTCTGATGTCTACTCGGTTCTCACCTCCGAGGAATATGCTAGAGTAAAAAGGCAGTTCGACATCAGCTCGGAGGTGTTTCCTCGACTACACTAGGCCGTCTCGGCGCCCGGCTGACGGCCTTGCCGCGATCATCGAAGAAATGGTAGTATCATTTACCATTAGACTACAAATTAAAAAAGTTCTCTTGAGTTCATCACCTTTTAGATAATTGTAACTCAATGCTATCTTTGAGTATTCCTTTTCCAGTAACCCTGCAAACTTTGTCGGGGAAGGCATCTTCAATTCCCGCAACGCATCTTTCCATTGAGATCGAAGTCTCTTGTTCCTTAACGCTCTTGCTATTGTAGTAATGACGATTGGCAAGCCTCTGCATTCCTTACATACGTCATTTGGCAGATCATCCCGCTTAATAATTGTTTGATCAACAATATCACCTGCAGGGGGGGAGTTGGATTGCTAGTCAAAGGGGCAAAAATATATACTGCATATGTTATAAATGTTTCAAAATTACTTTTGAATTTGCCATGCTAACTTTAATAGTACATTATGTGCTTAGATAAAAAAAATAATTGTTATATTCATTTATCATATTGATAGATATACAAAAAAGTATAAAGCGAAATCGAGCAACGAAGTTTGACACATTTATTTATTTATTTTCCATGTAAAACCATAAAATTTATATGTTCATAAATCCAAATTAATCAAACTTTTTGTACAGATCTGGAGGGGCCAAGACTATGATGTAAGTATTAAAATTGTGAAAAATAATAAAATATGTAAGAAAATGTTAAAATTCTGTAACTTTAATTACCCGCCATCTTTTTAAACAGGCTCCAAGCTTCTTCTTCGGTTAAAAAACCCACTTGGAAATACTTCACAGAATCCATACTCGGTAACACATTAAGATCTCTTGCTGTCAGCAATACTTTACAACCCCCACGATCATCTCCACAAGGAATTCCTAGAGCCTCCAAATTTAATTGTTCCCAGATATTATCTAAAATTACAAGGATTTTCTTATCTGTCTTCAATCTTGCATACAACTTATTTGCTCTTTCTCCCTCCGGCTCAAATTTCAGACTTAACTGATTTGCTAGTTCATCTTGAATCTTTTTAGTGTCTGGTTTATCAGATACCTCTACGAAAACCAACTCATCCAAGAGCTGTTTTTTCTTGGCTTGCTGACCAACTTCTTTGACCAGCGTGGTTTTGCCAATGCCACCCATTCCGTAAACCCCGATAATGCCTACCTCGGCATCTTCTACAGCGTTCAACACACCTTTCAAAGTTGAGAGTCTTGATTCAAATTCCTCGTAATCTTTGTTCTTAAGCCGAATATTGTCTTCACGAGTGGTAGGAAAAGAAACTTTATGAATGAATGTTTCTTTTTCCTGCAGGAATTCAGTTACAGCCTCCACCTTTTTCGATGCTTTCCTGCTATTTTTGTAACAGGTGATCAAGTTGAAACATCGGCTGTTTGTTTTCTCTTGAATCAACTGCTCTGCTTCAACAATGATGGAATCCACATCCCTCTGCCAGTCTTCAACCTGCTGTTTGATCGTTTCCACGTTGTTTTGAGCCGCAACAACCTTACGCTTCACCTCCTCTCTTGCATCCTTGAGCTTTCCAATTTCTTTTTTGAGATCGTCAAAGTTGCTCTTGTAGTTGTACAAGTACATAAATTGACGCCTTACAGGAGCAGATAAGCCCTTTCCAACTTCTAAAACAGCATTCCCTGCAGTTTCTTCCATTCTCAACCCCTTTTCCTTTTCCTTCCTTAGAGAAAATAGAGCTGAACAAAAATAAAATAAAATAAAATAATTCAAACAAAACAGAGAAAACAACGGGACAACCAGGGAACAAAACCACAATTACAGAAAAATAGTAACAAGGAAATATACCAGCGAAATTTAGATGCAAAAATTGGATAGAATCGGATTACAAGTTAAAATATGAAGTGATTTGGATATTGCTGCTTACTGAAAGAGAAGCAGGGGATCCAGAAGAAGGGGAAGGAGTGAAAAATCTAGTGATCAACAATTACAGTAAAAGTACGTTCAAGCAAATACAAGGAAAGATCTGGTTTTGGACTTTGTTTGGGGCGACTTAGTAGAAGAAAATGCAAAAGAAAAGCATACTCTGAGATGTCTATAACAGAGGGTTGAAGTGATACAGGAAATTTGTGAATTGTGAATTTGTGATCTCATTTGCTCACTAGTAACATTAACATGTGTGTTAAATGGTTCAAAACCAAAGATAATTTTATTAAAATTATTTTGAAAGACTCAAAATGTTTTGTTAGTCAACAAAAAGACAACAAAGAAAGCGACATTCCAATGAACTTTCTGCATTATTCAGCAGATACCATTAAATCACTAAACCTATAAAAGTACAGTAAAGCAAAGAAATTCACCAAAAAATATCAAATATTAATTGAACTGTTTCTTGCTTTTCTTTGGTAAATATCAAAAGTAAAAGTCTTGTTAAGCCAGCTGAAAAAAACAAAACATTGAAAGTAACAAGGCACTAATCATGAACATTGAGCCAAAAGTAGAAGGTGTAAATTCCACAATGAATAAAGTAAAAATGGACCTTGCCAAACTTTCTAATAAAGTAATAATACATTGAAGTGGTAGTCTTTATCTTTCATCATCAATAATTGAAGAGAGCACACTGTTTAAGATTCCCTAACAGATATACATCACATCTTTATGGTAGAAGCAAATTGATGCATGCGACCAAAGTTAAAGTGATGACCACAAAAATAATTTAATTCTATTCTCTAAATAATATTTGGTATATTATTCTAGAAATATTATTCTATTTTTTTATTTATTTTTAGACCCTATAAAGTTATTAATTTTATTAAATACCCCCTAAAAATAGTTTAAAAATTAGCAAAAATACCCCCATGACCAAAACTTGCCAGATTCCGACAACCACCATCGGTGGTAGCCGAAATCTGTACAACGGCCTACCTGCCAACCATAAATGGTCAGAAGTTCACCGATCTGGTCTTTTCCAACTAGATCCACCATGGATCTGGCCGTAATGACGGTCAAATCTTGACCATCGTTGACTGAAAACGACAGCCATATCTTTGGCCTCGTTTTGGCCTTTTTTGGCCATCACGGCCATGGCAGGCCGTGGATCTGGCTTTTTTCGGCCAGATCCTTGGTGGATCTGGTCAGAAAATGCCAAATCCAAGGCCTACTGTGGCCGGAAAAGGCCATAACGACACGTTACAACACAGATCTGACCGGTCTGTGTCATAACGAGATTTCCCGGCTAGATTCTGACGGTGGTGGCCGGAATTTGGCACTGCAGGTGGTGGGGGTGTTTTTGTCATTTTATACATTATGGAGTTTAATTAAATTAGCAAACCTAAGGGCTTTTTCATACATTTTTAAATTTTACCTCGTAATATTCCTCTATCCAATTACCCAATATTATTCTCAAAATCCTATCCAAAATAATAAACCAAATGCACCCTTAATGTTTTAGTTGGTTTCGTCTCTATCCACGTTCATTACTTCTATTTCCATCGTTCCATGGAAGTTAAATTAAGTATGGTCCTGATGAAAATATTAGAACGTCTTGATATAGAATGATTAATACATTATTATTCTCTTCTCTAGTCAAGATGTCTTGATATTAATTTTATAAAAAATTATATTTTTTAATTTAGATTTAATAGTATACATCAAACATTGTTATGTGATTACTTTTATATAAAAAAATAAAAAATAAAAAAGATTTGGTATCTGTCATTGTAATAATATTTATATATATATATCAATATCAATTAAAGCAAAATTTGCAGTCTTCTAAGTTAGTTTAAAAAACAAAATATTGAAAGTAACAGGCACTATCAATGAACATTACAAATTCAGATATATATCATCATCTTATCTTTCACTTATATTTTCATATTGAATATTTTATAATTTCAATTATTTATTTCAAATTCAGAATAAACATAATAATAAAAATAAAATTATAATTATTCTTAGCAAGGATGATGAAATGATTAAATTTATGCTCATCAATGATATTTAATTTTCTATGTAAATATGTTCCTGTTAGAAACTAATTGAAAATAAACAACCAGCCCAGGGATAAAAATCTAGAATAGAATTACAGAACAGAACAACAGTAATGATGCATGTGATTGACTGATTCAGAAAAATAAAATTAAATAACTTTAAATAAATATATCTAATCTCTGATTGGTAGTTTCTGACTTTGTGAACACATGGGCTCGGTTGATTCCTGGAATACACGCCTCATAAAGAGAGAAAGCAAAGAAGAGTTTTTTTTTTTTTTTTTTTTTATTGGTGCCGGGGGCCACTCGTGGCCGTGGGACTGGGAGACGAATCTTCGTTGTAACAGGCATACCGTAGAGAGAAGGGCGGAAGTGCAGATGTATTTTTGTCAATGTTTAAAAATCAACCAAGGTGAAACCGAGTAAGTGTTGGTCTTAGATGATTGCTTTAAGCGCTTTGACTGGCGGTCAAACAAGTGACAAAATTTTGAAATTTAGTAAATATATCTCTAAATATAATTAAGTTTTATAAGTTTAAAATTTAACAATACACTCAAAATACAAATCAATTGGCAATTGATTGACGACGGGAACACTCCAAAGCAATCACAAGTTCATTTAGCCCCTTCTCCATAAAATCTATCTAAGATCAAACCAAAATCAGGTCAATTTTGGCCAGATCTCACCAATGCCAGCGCGGTATTCTAAGTCAGATCTTACCATGTTTGTATTGGTATTCTAGGTTAGATCTCACGTCGCCAGCATCGAAAACGCTCACCATCACCTCAAAAATACTCTCTTCTTCCTTTTGACCAAAATTCCAAGATTGTGAGGTTTTTTCCTTTTTTTTTTTTTTTAAGAAAAAAAGAAGTTAATCAATTTAGAGATAATTTTAAATTTTAAGGGTTTAATGCCATTTCCCCAGGTTTTATTGAATAAAATTCCCTACAAATAATATTTACCCTCTACCATCAATATTTATATTTCATTAAGATTTGACCGTCGCCCTTGATTTTAATTTTACTTCCATGCTATTTTATGTGCATGCTATTGCGGTAATGTGTGTTTCTTTATGGTTAACTGAAAGGTATAGATGTAAAAAGTGGATGGAATTGGACTACAATTTAAAATGTTTCATTTGTCAAATTTTATTCTTAATACATTTTAGGATATGATTCTAAGAATGTTTTTGGTAATTTTCTAAAAATAATTAGAGTATTTTTAGCCTCCTAAGTTTGTTAATTTAATTAAACACCCTCTACAATGAAAGTTTAAAAATTGATAAAAACACTCATATCCACCCAACTATTGCCGGTAGCCGGCCACCACCATCGGATGGTGGTCGTAAGCCCTCGAGATGGTGCACAACGGTTAGATCTAAACGGTCGTGCACTGGTTTAACCTTTTTGGTCATTATACTGTGGATTTGGCCGGAAATAAACTAGATCTACAACCACAAATCTGGTTGTTGAGAATTGTCATATCTTGGCCATTAACAAACAGATCTTAGTCATAGATCTAGCCGTTTAACCAGATCTATAGTGGATCTGAACGAAAAAGGACAAATCAATGCATGATCGGTGTAGATCCAATTAATCATCAATCCTACAACGTCGGTGGCTAGTGGTGGCTATTGACGGGTGATAGTGGCTTGGGTGAGTGAGGATGTTTTGTTAATTTTAAAACTTTATTAAGAAAGGTAATTGTTAATATTTAAGTTGATAAAATATAATTGAATTTTAACAAGAATTGTGAATATTAAAACAAACGTGTATTTGGATAGGATAGTGGGAAAAAAAATGAAACAAATGGGCCAACTGGATATTAGTGTACTGAAAGAGAGCAGGGTAGAAGAAGGGGGAGGAGTGAAAAATCCGTAAAAGTACAGTAAAGCAAAGAAATGCACCACAAAAAATCGATAGTACAATATTAATTAAACTGTTTCTTGCTTTATTTATTTTTATTTTTATTTTTATAAGAAAGATTTGGTAAATATCAAAGGTTTAAGTCTTCTTAAGTGAGCTGAAAAAAACAAACGTTGAAAGCAACAAAACACATCTTGAATATTGTGCGAAAAGTAGAAGGTTGAAATTCCACAATCAATAATATAAAAATGGACACTTGCCAAACTTATAATAAAGTATATCCATTGAAGTGGTGTCTTGTCTTTCATCATCAATAATTGAACAGAGCGCACAGTTTAAGATTCTCTAACAGATATATATCATCATCTTTCATTGCGTGGTGGAAAGCAAATTGATGCATGCGACCAAAGTTAAAGTGATGACCACAAAAATAATTAATGTTTTAGTTGGTTTCGTCTCCAGTCAACACCATGAATATAAGATATATATAATGGATTCAAATTATAAATACCATTTGAGTCAATAAGATGAACCAACAGTAAATTAAGTATGATCCTAAAAAAATTAATATCAAAGGTCTTGATATAGAATGATATATATCATTATTCTTCTCTAGTTAAAATGTTGATATTAATTTTATCAAATCATACTCATCTACTATTAAATTTAATTTACATAATTAAGATGATATTTTATAATTAGATTGAATAGTATAATATATACCGTCAAACATAATATATCAAATTGGATTATTTTTATATAAAAAACAAAAAAAAAAAGATTGTAATATTATATATATTTGACAACATCAAAGCTTGATAGTCTTCTAAGTAAAAATTAAAGCAACAGGCACAACCAATAAAAATTAAAAATTTAGATATATATATCATCTATCCTTCACTCACCTTTTATATTGAATATTTATATCTTATTGATTGACTGATTCAGAAAAAAATATATCTAATATCTGATGGGTTACTTTCTTGCCTTTGCGAACACGTGGGCTGCTTGACTCGTGGAAATACACGCCTCAGAAAGAGAGGAAAGCAAAAAGAGTTTTTTCTTTTATTGGTGGCGGGGGCCACTTGTGGGAAAGGGAGACGAATCTTCGTTGTTTAGAGTTAGAAAGAAGGGGGTAACGGCCAGTATAGTTTAGCAAACTCTAAAGTCCAAACCCCACTCTTTGTTTTTTCTTTTACTTTCTTTTTTTTAATAAACGGGTGGATCAGTTCAGTCTAACTCATAATATTTTTGGAGGTTAAAACTATC